GATTCATCGATTAATCGAAAAAATAATCGTCCGATTCATCGATTTTTAAAATAATCGTTAGTTGCAGCCCTAAATAAAAGCCAACATATTCTGCCGGCAGGTTTCTACATTTGAAGTTAATAACCTGTTTCAGAGGAGTGATCATAGCGCTCTGCATCAGCAGCGCTGTGTCTGACTCCCTGCCAGCTCCCAGATCAGCTTCTCTGATTGGTTGATTTTGCGCGTCCAGCAGCTAAAGCTGAATTTTTCCAACTCCAGCAGCTGCTGCTTCTGCTGCGCCTCAGATGCTCAGAAGCTCGTTAGGCGTCGTTTCAGCTGCTCTAGACGCTGCTGGACCTTTTGCTGCGCTTTGATGCGCGTCTACCATTGACTTTGCATGTAAATTAGCTGCTTCAGGTGCTTTAGGTGTGAGCGTAGCATGAGAGTACGCATGCATATATACATATATGTCTATATATATATATATAAAAGGCACTTTTGTCGGGTTAATTAGTTTATTTTCCTTTTATTAATTTCCTTCTATCTGGGCTTCTTTTTGCTTCCTATGCCTGACATAGGAAACAAATGTTTAATCATTTCTCCCTGTCAGGAGAGAGTTGGAACAAAAAGGGGAAAAAAAACACAAAGAGGAGAAAAAAATCATAGCTATACACGTGTGCTTAAACTGAAGGATAATTAAAAGATAAGGTACGGATAGAATATTTCCATTCTATTGTCATTTCCTAGTTACACTAAAATATGGATGGTACCGAAGGCAAAAAATGGGATATTTTCAGCAGTTGCAATGTTTTACCCACCATCTCCTTGCTGATGGTCTTGGTGGCGAATGCGGTCTTAAAAAGACCGTTTTCTGGGTAATTATGTCATCTGGGTAATGTTGATATAAAGTGCATCAGCAAGGCCTGACAACAAACACAAACTGCTGTAAATTAAAACGTTCAGTGCCCGTCACATGCAGCGTGGGAAACATCTGAGGTCACCAGCATTAGCTAACGATAACACCTGCTCACACAGGTTAAAGTTAACAATCGGTTCAAGTGTGATTCAGATAAAGCCATGCAGTCCTGGATCAGGAGCGGCTTTCACTGAAATTATGGAACATAAATGGACAACATTTTCTACGGTTATTGATCAGTTCTCTGTTGCAATATAAACTCTTATTGCTTTGTTGCTCTCTTATTAACAGAGCTATGGATAGCCAGCATTTTTTAACACATCCAGTCAGATTGATTCAAAGGTTTCTATCAAAGGGCAACCAGCTGATCAACATATTCTCATTATCAGTTCGTATGAAATCGTACGAAAAGTTATGCACCGTATTTCATACGTTTTTGACGT